CCTCACCCTCAGCCCCCTCCTGCATCCTCCCTCCCACCCAGACCCCCCAACCCTCAGCCTCTTCCTGCACCCTCCCTTCCAGCCAGCCCCTCCTCCTCAGCCCGCTCCTGCACCCAACCTCCCAGCCAGACCCTTTATCTCTACCATCTCCTGCACCCATTTTGTCAGCAAGAGTGGTTGTCTGGCTGCGAAAAGGTCTTCGTTGAGCAGGCTGGGTCATTGCATCCTCCCTCCCACCCAGACCCCCCAACCCTCAGCCTCTTCCTGCACCCTCCCTTCCAGCCAGCCCCTCCTCCTCAGCCCGCTCCTGCACCCAACCTCCCAGCCAGACCCTTTATCTCTACCATCTCCTGCACCCATTTTGTCAGCAAGAGTGGTTGTCTGGCTGCGAAAAGGTCTTCGTTGAGCAGGCTGGGTCATGGACCAAAAAGTTTGAGAACCCCTGCTCTAGACCATCCCTGAGAAATGTCGGTCTAACCTGCTCTTAAAAACCTCCATTGACGGAGATTCCACAACCTCCCTAGGCAATTTATTCCAGTGTCCCCGACAGGAAGTGTTTCCTGATGTCCAACCTAAACCTCCCTGGCTGCAATTTAAGCCCATTGCTTCTTGTCCTGTCCTCAGAGGTCAAGGAGAACCATTTTTCTCGCTGCTCTTTATAATATTTTTTTAGGTTCTTGAAAGCTGCCAGCATGTCCCCTCTCAAGTCTTCTCCTTTCCTGACTGAACAAACCCACTTTTTTCAGTCTTCCCCCATAGATAATCTTTTCTAGACCTGTCAACCTCATTGTGGCTCTTTTCTGGACTTTCTCCCATCTGGACACCTCTTTCCAGAAACGTGGTGCCCAGAACTGGATGCAACACTCCAGAGGAGGCCTAATCAGCATGTGCCAATAGGCCCTGTCAGCAGGTGAAAGCCCAGAGAGAAATGTTAATCACGTCTTTTTAAATCATAATGATATTGAGACCACCACTGCTCTGAGACAGACTGACGAACCTGTCTCTGTAGCTTTCTTTGATAAGATAACGAGCCTTGTGGATAAGGGAGAAGCGGTGGATGTCATATACCTAGACTTTAGTAAGGCATTTGATACGGTCTCGCATGATATTCTTATTGATAAACTAGGCAAATATAACTTAGATAGGGCCACGATAAGGTGGGTGCATAATTGGCTGGATAACCATAGTCAGAGAGTTGTTGTTAACGGTGCTAAATCCTGCTGGAAAGGGATAACAAGTGGAGTTCCGCAAGGGTCTGTTTTGGGACCCGTACTGTTCAATATCTTCATCAATGATGTAGATATTGGGATAGAGAGTACGCTTATTAAGTTTGCAGATGATACCAAACTGGGTGGGATTGCAACTTCTTTGGAGGATAGGGACATAATTCAAAACGACCTTAGCAAGTTAGAGAAATGGTCAGAGGTAAACAGGATGAGGTTTAATAAAGAGAAATGCAAAGTGCTCCACTTAGGAAGGAACAATCAGTTCCATACATACAAGATGGGAAGCGACTGTCTAGGAAGGAGCATGGCAGAAAGGGATCTAGGGGTCATAGTGGACCACAAGTTGAATATGAGTCAACAGTGTGATGCTGTTGCAAAAAAAGCAAATATGATTCTAGGTTGTATCAACAGGTGTGTTGTAAGCAAAACTCGTGAAGTCATTCTGCCGCTCTACTCTGCACTAGTTAGGCCTCAGCTGGAGTACTGTGTCCAGTTCTGGGCGCCACATTTCAAGAAAGATGTGGAGAAATTGGAAAGGGTACAGAGAAGAGCGACAAGAATGATTAAAGGTCTAGAGAACATGACCTATGAAGCCAGGCTTCATGATAGTTTGGAAAAACGAAGATTAAGGGGGGACATGATAGTGGTTTTCAAATATCTAAAAGGGTGTCACAAGGAGGAAGGAGAAAATTTGTTTCTCTTGGTTTCTGAGGACAGGACAAGGAGTAATGGGCTTAAAGTGCAGCAGGGGAGGGTTAGATTGGACATTAGGAAAAAATTCCTAACTGTCAGGGTGGTCAAATATTGGAATAAATTGCCAAGGGAGGTGGTGGAATCTCCCTCTCTGGAGATATTTAAGAACAGGTTAGATAGACATCTGTCAGGGATGGTGTAGACGGAGCTTGGTCCTGCCTTGAGGGCAGGGGGCTGGACTCGATGACCTCTCGAGGTCCCTTCCAGTCCTATTATTCTATGATTCTATGATTCTATGATGGAGGTCAATGCTTAATGCATACAGAAAGTGCACATACGAGCATTGAAATGTGCAGCGCCATGCGTGTGAATGCGTTATGTCTTCTTCCCTCCACGCACCCTTGAAACCACTAGGAGCAATCGTGTCTGGCGCAGCTCTCCCACAAATAAGAATTTGCCTCGTATGACAAATCCCGTCAAACATGAGGCAGAATGGAGACGCACGGCCTTCCCAGCCCCGATTTACTGAGGTTCCGCCTTCCCTTCGCAGTTTGTGGCAAGCTCCAAGCGGATATCGCGTTCCTGGTGGACGAGTCCTCGAGCATTGGCCAGAGCAATTTCAATAAAGTGAAGGACTTCCTCTTCCGGATCGTCTCCTATTTCCCCAGGATTGGGCCCGAAGGGACACAGGCAAGAGACTGTTCTTTTATATATTTACAGTCGTAGGTACCTTGCTTCATTTTATTCATCCTCACAGCACCCCTGTGAGTTAAGGGAATGCTGTCCCCCATTAAGTCTCAGAGAGGCTAAATGACTTGCCTGAGGTCATACAGGACATCTGTGGCAGAGAGGGGAATAAAACCAAGATTGCTCAAGCCTGGAATTAGCATTCTAACCATTGGGCCGTCCTTCCTTTGGAACTCCAGCTGGCCAGTCCCTGCTGGGCATCTATTTATAGCATTTTCTAGCAGTTTTCCCAAGCCCCAGCCCTCACTAAGGAAGATCTCTGTGACTGAAACCTTGAGTTTCAGCGAGTTAATGGAGAGAGTCCTACTGGCTTTGCTAGGCTTGGGTAGGCGCTGTAGGTAGAGCTTCAGATTCTCCTTGGTTGCAGACCGTAAATCGTGCCCCGTCCATGATCTGTGCCCTTTTCCGGTGTGTGCTTCTATCCATAACCCACCCTCTCCAGCCCCCTCCTCCCCCTTCATTGGCCTCCTGTGCTCTTTGGCAGGTCGCTGTAGCTCAGTACAGCGAAGATCCCCGGACTGAATTCCACTTTAACCAGTACAAGGATCGAAATGGAGTTCTCAACGCCCTCAAGGAGCTGCAGTACAAGGGAGGCAATACGAAGACAGGTGGGGGCCGGCCGTGCACGTTACAGCTAGAAATGTGAGCCCAGGTCCCCAACGGTGGATCTGCATTTGGCTCTCAACTTTTCCCAGCAGGTGTGGTTTTGTTTCTGAGTTTTGAATCAGAGGCTGGCTGTGAAGCTGCAATCTAAGCTTCTTTAAAGACGGATTGAGGCGTGTCTAGAATTTTGGTTTGGACCCATTTGTAATAATAGCCTGGCCATCTATTCTGGTTCTTTCATAAGCGGCCGAGGTTTTCTCCTGACCTTCTCTATCATTGTATATCCTATCACTCCCTTCCTTCATTTAGCTTTTAAACAGCACGGATCCCTAGCCGTAAGGGTATCAACCTACAGGGAATATTTTTAAGGCTTTGTTGACACTCAAAGGAAGATCGCCGCTGCTGCGATCATTCTTCCCGAGTTTGATTTAGCGAGACTAGTTAAGCCTCACTAAATCAAACTCAGAGGGCGCCCCCATCAGTGGCCAGTATTCCTCCTTTTGCAAGGAGTAAGGGAAGCCAACAGGAGCATTTGCTTTCATCATTCTCCCTGTGACAGGGCGTTTGCCTTCCACTGGCCCTTTACGGGCAACACCCCAGCCCTGAGCAAGGGCTGAGAGTAAAGCCCCAGCTGAAGCAGTTGGGGCTAAGGAGGGCCCAGCTGGGGGCTGTGTAAAGGACTCCTGGAGGGAGTGGGACAACTGATTGCTGCTCTGGACAGAGAGCAGTAGGGACTTGACTGCCAGGGAAGCAGGAGGCGTCCTAGAGAGAGGGCAGGGCTGGGGAAGCTCTGGCCAAGCAAGCTCCCAGGCTGTAGGGCCTGAAGCAAGGCCCGAGGCTGCTAGGGCTGTAGAGAGGCAGCCATGGTAGGCGGGGCAGCAAGTCCATCCCCCTTTGCCAGTGATGAGTGGCCACTACAGACTGCAGTTTGCCCCTGAGGCAGGGGCCAGATGAAGACAGGCAGTGGGTCACTGAGGCAAAGGGAACTGGGTGTTCCCTGGGGGGAGAACAGGGTGCCCTGGGGAGGGGAGGACCCTGGAGTGCAGGCAGGATAAACACCCACCTCCGGAAGGGGGGCTTCGACACCAGAGTGGGCGCTGCCGGAGGGCCGTGTCCTGAAGAGGACGCCGTGGTCCAAGAGACCACACGGAGACACCAGCTAGAGGGAGGCGTCCGGTGAGACAACAAGCTAATTCCCAGAGCAACCAGCTGGAGGCGCCATGGTGCTGAGTCAGCCCCGTGACCCTCCCAGTCGGGGGACATCGCCAAGCTTGGCTTAAGGTAGCCAGCTACCTGTTCTACATGGCTGGGCTGCGTCGAGACTGGCAAGTAGACTGCCCGCTGTCTACACTGGCCGCTTGAATTTCCACAAGAACACTGACTTCCTACTGTCTGAAATCAGTGCTTCTTGCGGAAATGCTATGCTGCTCCCGTTCGGGCAAAAGTCCCTTTTGCGCAACGCTTTTGTGCAAAAGGGCCAGTGTAGACAGCTCAGATTTGTTCTGCACAAAAAAGTCCCGATCACGAAAAAGGCGATCGGGGCTTTTTTGCGGAAAAGCGCGTCTAGATTGGCACGGACGCTTTTCCATAAAAAGCGCTTTTGCGGAAAAGCGTCCGTGCCAATCTAGACGCTCTTTTCTGCAAATGCTTTTAACGGAAAACTTTTCCGTTAAAAGCATTTACGGAAAATCATGCCAGTCTAGACGCAGCCCTGGAGTGGCATATCTTACGCCGAGTGGCCGAGTCTAGTGTAGACCTGGCCTAAGAGTGCTTTTACCTCCATACAGCAATGAGCAATGTAGGCTAGTGAGCGGGCCACATGAGTAATCCTCCTTCATCATAGCGGCCTGCAAGCTTGTCGTAACCAAGAGTCTCCCGGGATAGGGTAATGTTGCTCACCGCGCTTGCCTGCCTAGAATTTGCAGGGTTTGCCGATGGAACCGTAGCAGAGCGTGGATTGGATGCAGAAGCAGCACGTGACTCCCAGTCAGAATTCCTAGCATTGAGTTTGATGGTTCAGCACTAGATTCTGTTTCCTTGGGATTGATTCAACCCACGGGCTCTGGTCCTGTTCGATGCACGTCTACGACTCAGCCCTGGGACTTAGGGGGCACATGAGGCAGGACTTTCAGAAGCTCAGAGCACTGACCTGTCTCCAATCCCACTGGCATCAAGGGGACTTTTGACTTCAAGAGACAGGGCGAGAGAGCCCAGTTCAGAGCGTTTGGGGGTAAAACGACCCACACGTCCCTCGCCTACATTGGAAGCATCTTCGATGCACGTCTACGACTCAGCCCTGGGACTTAGGGGGCACATGAGGCAGGACTTTCAGAAGCTCAGAGCACTGACCTGTCTCCAATCCCACTGGCATCAAGGGGACTTTTGACTTCAAGAGACAGGGCGAGAGAGCCCAGTTCAGAGCGTTTGGGGGTAAAACGACCCACACGTCCCTCGCCTACATTGGAAGCATCAAGTATTTCATGTAGGGGGAAAAAAATCCCCCAGGCTTCAGCCGTAGGAAGATGCGCCGTCTGTAACGGCAGCCTGCTGGGGAAGGGTTAGCCTTGTAGCCCTCTGGTCAGACAACACAACTACATTCCTACGGCAAGGGGTCAGACACACATGCACAGCAGCTCTACGCTGGGGGACGGCAGCCCTGATGTTATCCGTTCGTAGCCGGCCACCCCTGCTCTGGTGGAGGTCGTTAGCGAGGTTAGGAACTAAGTGAAGGCTTCCAGCCACCAGACCACGGAGGTTCTGGAGCAGCATTTTGATAGGATTGGGGGGCGGGGGGAGTATCAAAGGCCAGGGCAGACCACGCCTCCCCTGACCCAGACCTGTGGCTCCACCCATGCTCTTGCCCTAGGCCCCCCTCTGTTCCCTGAAGCACGTGGGGGCAATCAGTTCCACTCTCCAGCCTGCATTTCAGGCCCGCCAGCCACTAGGGCTGGCTTGGGGGCTAGTGGCACTGGGCGGAGGGGAGGTGGCTCAGCCTGGCATTGGGTGTGGGGCGGCCAGCACCGGCCAGCACAGCAGTCTGGCTGCTCTGGCTGTGAGAGATGAGAGGACTCAGGGCTTCTCTGGCCAGTGGTAGGGGGAGCTCAGGGCTCAGGTGAGGCCTCAGCAGGGGTGGAGGGTACGCTAGGCAGGGGAAGGCTTTGCCTTCCCACCAGGCATGGCCCCGCCCACACTCCAAGAATGCCTGCGATAGGTGTCCTGGGGGCAGAGTGCTGGGGGCTGGAGAGGCTGGGGCTCCTCCTCCTCCCTCTCTGTGGTGCTGGGGGGGCGGGACCTGAGCAGAAGGGGCGGGGCTATGAGCTTGCCTCCACCCACACCCCATGGGCCTCAGGCAGAAGGGGTGGAGCCAGTGGGCCAAGGGGGGGTTCACCTGAAGGGGGAGTTCACCTGCTGCCCATGACCGGGGGCGGGATAAACCATCTGCCTAGTTTTAAAAGGTGCCTGATACATTTATGAACAGGAGCATGTGCCCAGGTTAGCGGCAGTAACTGGGACTTGGGCTCCGTGGCCTAGGACGTCCTTCCAGTCGTGACTGCCCCGTGGCTAACGTGGCTCTGGCACCGGTTCGTGTCTCCTAATGTGGCCAGCCTGTACACTTTTTAACACGGCCCCCTGCAAAGCGGACCAGACCCAGTGATCTTCATGCACTTGGCTCTGCAGGACCGAGACTGTGCATCTTTCTCTTCCCCCCAGGTCGTGGCTTAGGCTACGTGCTAAAGGAGTTATTCCAGCCCTCCAAAGGGATGAGACCCGCCGTGCCTCGCACGCTGGTGCTAGTGACCGACGGACAGTCCCAGGACGACGTGTTGCCACCAGCCAGAGCAGCCCACGCGCTAGGTAAGAATCTCTGGGTGTGGTGTTTATTGGGGGGAGGGAGTGTTGGCCCTGGGGAGGAATGTTAGTATGGCCCTGGGGAGGGGCTATTTTGAAATAGCAGAAGTGGAGCCCCTATTCTGAAATAGAAAAAACCCAGGGAGGTTGTGGAATCTCCGTCTGTGGAGATATTTAAGAGTGAGTTAGATAAATGTCTATCAGGGATGGTCTAGACAGTATTTGGTCCTGCCATGAGGGCAGGGGACTGGACTCAATGTCCTCTCAAGGTCCCTTCCAGTCCTAGTGTTCTATGATTCTATGAAATCGCTATTTCGGAATAGGCGTTATTCTTCGCAGAATAAGGGTTACAGAAGTTGGAATAAGCCTCCCGTTCTTTCGAAATTAGAATAAGGGTTACAGAAGTCGGAATAAGCCTCCCGTTCTTTCGAAATGATTCCGAAATAACGCTATTGCTGTGTAGAAGCTCGCAGTGTTATTCCGAAATAACTTTGCTATGCAGCTAGACCCTAATGGACTTTTGGCTGGGTGGGCTTGGAGCAGCATTGTCCGACGTGCTAGTCACTCCTCTGAGCAGTGTGTTATGCTGGTTTGGAGTCTCTGTCCCGTCCCTGAACAATAAGGCTGTGTCTAGACTGGCAAGTTTTTCCACAAAAGCAGCTGCTTTTGCGGAAAAACTTGCCAGCTGTCTACACTGGCCGCTTGAATTTCCGCAGGAACACTGACGATCTCATGTAAGAAATCAGTGCTTCTTGCGGAAATACTACGCTGCTCCCGTTCCGGCAAAAGTCCTTTTGTGCAAAAACTTTTCCATTAAAAGCATTTGCGGAAAATCATGCCAGTGTAGACGTAGCCCAAGGATTTGTGGAAGTGTTCCGCGCTCAGCCAGGAAGCCCTCTCCGCAGGTGTGTAGACGTAGCCCAAGGATTTGTGGAAGTGTTCCGCGCTTAGCTGGGTAGCCCTCTCCGCAGGTAGAGACTGATCTGGCTCTGCCTGTGTGAGGACATCTGAGCCACCAACTCCACATGACAAAGGGGAGCAAAAGCCTTAGGGGTTAAGAGGTCTCCGCACATCAGTGTGAACGATTTCTAGTGGCTCAAGACAAGCTGGAGCGGGGAGCCGGGATCTGAGCTTGGATTTACTTTGCCAGTGAGAT